GAATCTATGGAGTTCTTTACCACACACGGCTAGAGAGGCTGGGTCATTAGGTATATTCACAGCTGAGACAGACTGATTTTTTTAATCAGTAAGGGAATCAAGGGTTACAGGGAAAAAGCAGGAAAGTGGAGTTGCGGTGTAGATGTTGGTGTGTTTGCTGAGCTGGGAGGTTTGATAGCAGGCGTTTCGTCCCCTTACTAGGTGACATCCTCAGTGCTGTGGAGCCTCCTGTGAAGCGCTGTTGTCTTGTGCCTGTTCGAGTTTATATGGTCTGGTTTTTGCTGCTTCTAGTAGGTGCTGGTTCTGGCTGTGCGCTGTAATGGTCGGTATATCGGGTCTAATTCAATGTGTTTGTTGATGGAGTCTGTGGATGAATGCCAATCCTCCAAGAATTCCCTGGCTGTTCTCTGTTTGGTTGTCCTATGATAGTAGTGTTGTCCCAGTTGACACTGCAGCAAGCCAGGGACAGACTTGTTGACCAGGGAACAGGTGCTGTGTTAAAGTGGCAGGCAAGTGGAAGCTCAGGGTCTTTTTGCAAACAGAACGTAGATGTTCTGCGAAGCGGTCACCCAGTCTATGCTTTGTTTCCCCAATGTAGAGGAGACCACATTGTGGGCAGCGAATGCAGCAGAGTAGATCGTGGGAAGTGCAGGTGAAGTGTTGCTTCACCTGGAAGGTATATTTGGGCCCTTGGATACTGGGGAGGGAGGAGGTAAGTGATCAAGTGTTGCATCTTCGGCAGTTGCAAGGGAAAATGCTGTGGGGCTATTGGGGGGGTGGGCGGTGATTTTAGGAGTGAAGGAAGAGTGGACCAGGGTGTCCTGGAGTGAACAGTCCCTGCAGATGGCAGATAAGGAAGGGGAGGGGAATATGTGTCTGGGGGTGGTGGCACCTTGGCGGTAATGGCGTCTGATGATCTTCCGGATGTGGATGCTGGTGGGATGTAGGTAAGGACAAGGGGAATCCCATCGCTGTTGCGGGAGGGAAGAGAAGGGGTGAGGGCGGAAGTGCGGGAGATGGGTCGGACCTGGTTGAGGGCCCTGTTGACAATGGTGCTGGGGAATCCTCGGTTAAGGAAGAAGGTGGACATTTCGGAGGCTCCCTTGTTGGCCTCATGGGAACATATGCGACAGAGACGGAGGAATTGAGAGAATGGGATGAAGTCTTTACAGGAAGTCTTTACTGGCAGCATTTGTACTCCAGTGGTGTGTCACAACGTGTGAAGATATTTTCTAATCAAACTGTTCGGAGGTTTTGTTAAACACCTCTATAGCAGGCAGGACTTGAACCTGGTCCTCCTGATCCAGAGCTAGGGATAGTGGCTCTGCACCACACAAGCCCATATAACATCTGAATAGGTTGATTCTAAAATATTTACAGGTGCAGCAAGCCATTAGGAAATGGCATGTTGGCAAATGTTTTAAGAGGATTTGTGCACAGACGTACAGATGTCTTAGTTCAATTCCTTTGTGAGAACATGCCTGGAGTATTGAGTTGAGTTTTGACCCTGTTCCCCAAGGGAGGATATAGCTGTCATAGAGGGTGTGCAGCAGAGGGTCAGCAGACTGCTCCCTGGAGTAGTCAGACTGTCCTATGAGGAGAGATTGAGAAGGCTGGGTCTGTGTCCCCTGGAGAATTAGAAGTGAAACGGTAAAGGGTTAATCAAAGTGGATATAGAAAGGATGCTTCCCTGGCTGGGTGATGTATGGTTTAGAATCAGAAACACATCTCAGAATAAAGAAAAGGCCATTCATGACCAAGATGAGGAGGAAGTTCTTCATTCAGAGGATGGTAGGTCTTTGGAATTCCCTATTTCAAATGGCTTGGTAGCTCCAACACTGAATGGGTTCAAGACACAGGCCAATAGATTTCTGCATGCTGATGACATGAAGGAATACAGGGCTAGCATGGTGTTGAGGTAGAAGCCAAGATCAAGAATGGTGGAGCACAATTTGAAGGGTTGGTTGGCCTCCTCCTGCATTCCTCTTACATTCCTCTCTCTTTTTCTATTTTGAGATCATCAGTTGGCCTGTCTTGCTCTGAATTGGCAGGTGCAATAGCTATGTTCTGTGGCTGTGTCTCACCTTCACATTCTGTGCAAAGGGAAAAATGTTTGAGCATTGAGAGAGAGCTGTTAATTTAGTGAATGTTGGCCAGCGATCACACAGCAAGCCTTTCTGTTCAGTTGGTCATTGTTTATTTGTTGCACAGTCATCTCTGAGCCTTAGCGAATAGTCTTTTTTATTTGCTGTTGTTATTCATCAATTTAGTTTGGAATTTAATATTTAATTTACCTGTCAGTCAGTGACAATATTTTTTCATGAGTTCTATCATTTATTATTTAATGTATGAAAGAAACATTTTGAGATTAATGCTTTGTTTCCAAAATTTCACTCATTGTACTGCTTAAACAAGGAGCATCAGAAAACCGCAGATAGTAAGAACTGCCGATGCTGGAGTCTGAGATAACACAGTGTGGAGCTGGAGGAACACAGCAGGCCAGGCAGCATCAGAGGAGCAAGAAAGCTTACGTTTCGGGTCGGGACCCTTCTTCAGAAATTGGGGAGGGGTAGGGGGCTCTGAAATAAATAGAGAGAGGAGGGGTGGGGCTGGGGAAGGTAGGTGGGGTGGTGATAGGTGAGTGCAGGTAGGGAGTGGAGGGGATTGGTCAGCGAGGGAGCCTACAACCCAATGTCTCAATGTGGAATTTACTAGCTTAAAAATCTCCCCACCTCCAACCTCATCCCATGACCAACCCTCCCTCTCATCCCCACCTCCTTGACCTGTCCGTCTTCTCTCCCACCTATCTGCTCCTCCCGCCTCACTGACCAACCCCCATCATTGCCTACCTGCACTCACCTATCACCACCCCACCTACCTTCCTCAGCCAAACCCCTCCTCTATTTATTTCAGAACCCCTACCCCTACCCCATTTTTGCTATGTTCCTCCAGCTCCACACTGTGTTGCACCAGAAAACCACAGCACCTTTACTCCTGACTCCAACTTCTTGTCCTATCCCTTAATTCTTCTTAACAATCTATTCATCTTAGTCTTAACTACATTCATGGACTGAACTTCTACAGGTCTCTGGGTAGTGTTTCCCTACAATTTACAACTCTCCAAATGAAATATCTCCTCATTAGGGATGGGCAATAAATGCTGCCTCACCAGTGATGCCCTCATCCCGTGAATGAATAAAGGAAAAAAAATTATGCTGGCATGAAATAACTTTTAGCATAAAAATTATTTTTAAAAATAATGCTTTTTAGTTAATTGGCTGGGTTTTCACAACAATTGATGATAGTTTCATGGTCACCTTTCCTGAGACTAGCTTTGAATTCCAGATTTTTCTTAATTGCTTAATTTGAATTTCCAGCTGCTGTGATGGGATTCGAACTTGCCTCCTCAGATCATTAATCCTCTGGATTAATCGTCCAGTGATACTGTCACAATGTCACCATCTCCCCTACTGGGTTCTAAACTCTGGACAGGCGCTTGAAACCTATGACTCAGAGATACCATCAGGTCAAGACTGGCAGCTGACTTAAATTCCAAGACTATTCCCTCATGATAACATATTCTGAATACAAAATTGGGGAAATGAATGATTCTCTTAAAGAAAATGTGCCCATCAACCCTCCCTCCGCTTTTGTCTGCAACTATCTTGCCAGGAAGGTGTTGAACATAACTCCCAGAATATCGGACAATTCCGTCATGAGCTGTTATCTCCTGCAGACATTAAAGCATCTAATGATCAGGTACCGGGAACAATACAAACTGACATCTCAGTATACCTCAGCTCAGAGTGACACATAGAGGAGCTGTGCTGACAGATAAGCACAAGAATCTGCTACCTGCGGTGGGACAGCTACATTAATTACAAAAATAAGTTTCCATTTGTTCAGATGGGGGACTGTGAGCTCATCCTCATTTAATCTTCAGCTGTAAAATGAGTGCTCACATTTAGAAGGTTGTTTTTAAAGTGAACATCCTCTGTATACAATCACTGTTAGAACTATAACTAAAAAGCATTATTTCAGATTTTTAAAAATAATTTTTATGCTAAAAGTTATTTCATGCCAGCATAACTTTTTTTCCTTTATTCATTCACGGGATGAGGGCATCACTGGTGAGGCAGCATTTATTGCCTATCCCTAATTGCCCAGAGGGCAGATAAGAGTCAACTACATTGCTGTGGCTCTGTAGTCACATGTAGGCCAGACCAGGTAAGGATGGCAGTTTCCTTCCCTAAATGACATTAGTGAACGAGATGGGTTTTTCTGACAATCAACAATGGATTCGTGGTCATCATTAGATTCTTAATTCCAGATATTGATTGAATTCAAATTCCACCATCTGCCGTGGCGGGATTTGAACCTGAGTCTCCAGAACATTATCTGGGTCTCTGGATTAACAGTCCGGTGATGATACCACTAGGCCATTGCCTCCCCTGGTTTATCCTCCAGAGGAGACACCTCCCACTCAACTCTGTCTCATCTCATCAACAAATCTTTCTAATAATTTCTCCCTCATAAGACAGTAAGAAATAGGATTGATTGGTCAATCTGGACAAGATCTTCGTTTAACATTTCATCCAAATGACAGCACCTCAGTATTGCATTGGGGTGTGTCAACTGAGGATTTTTGTGGCCAAATCTCTTGGAACTTGAAGCCATAAACTTCTGACTGACTGGGCAGAGCGCTACCCACTGAGTTAAGTGGCCCTTCATCAATTAACTGGTTTCACGGGTGATGAATGGCCTCTTGGACAAGTATTGAAGTGCCTTCTCGAGGGGTATCGTGGTGATGGTCGGTGTCTTCAGAGGAGCCGAGGGGGAATTTGTGTTTTTTCCATAAGAAAGGTCAAACGACTAAGGAAAGGGTGGTTAGTTTGTTAAACTTCAACTGGAATCTGCAGAGGGACCTCACTACAGCTGTACTTAGATCAAAGATAATTGAAAAGATGAAGTGGATCAGCAGTAGGACAGAATCAACTTACGAAGGCCTTGGGCAGGTACAGAACTCCCAGTTCATATGAGCGGATCATCAGCTGAAAGCCATTCTTCTCTAGAGTTCCCCAGGCAGCCTTTGACAGATTGGCACTAAGGTACAGGAGGAAAATAGGACAGCTATCAGTCTTGGAACTTGATTAACATTATGCTTCTTAATAATTCACTACAGATCAACATACAAACTTTCACAGACTGTCAACTCCTTCAGAATTTACAGCAATAAATCTACTCAGTCCCTTTCTGGTTTATCTTTGCAGGCATCATTAGCAGATTTAAAATCTACAGCAGTTATAGGTCCTGTCTGTGCTGTCTCTCTCCAGGTTGTTACACTTTACATAACAAACGTTTATCGCCAACAATTTCGAAGTCCATGTGAATAACGGAGAGTTTTTCTGTGAGGTCATCTCGTGACAGCGCAATCTGGTCCAATATGTTCCCACCATTCTCTCAGAATCACGGCACGTTACAGCACAGGAGGAAACCATTCTGCCCATTATGCTGAGAGATGGTTCGCTGAAAGAGCCATCCGATTAATTTCACTCTCCTCCTGTCCTTTTCCTTTAATATTCCCACAGTTGCGGCCAAAACAGTGAATGCTTTCAAGAAGGAGTTAGTAATAGTTCTTGAGGTTAAAAGGATCTTCTCTGAGGAATCCTCAGACAGGAGCATTCCAGCTTGTCATAGCTCCTTCGATGGTTTCTCTTCCACAGCGGGACCTTTCGTTTCAAGGCTGATGAGTGTCATCACCTTTCCTCATTCGCAGATCTGCTGACTCAAGGGGCAAGCCAGATTGTTCTGGTTTGCACTCTGCCCAATATCTCAGTGGGCCTGGGCAACCAGAACCAGGCCCAGTGCACAAGGTGGGAGCTGATCAGAGAACTGACTGCAAGGACATAACTTTTTGGAGCAGGAGGTGGCCATTCATCCCCTCAAGCCTGTTCCACCATTTGTTACAACCATGAATGGCTTTATACCTCAACGCTACTTTCCATCCATTGCCGATATCCATTAATTCTATTTGAGTGTGTAAAATCTTTTGGTCTTCACTCTAAAGTATAGAATTCCTAAAGTGCAGAAAAAGGCCATTTGGCCCATATTGCAGCAAAGAAATAAATGACATCACAAAGCAATTTCAACAATAATAATTAAAGACTTTCAACTTTACATCAACTTTCAGAAATCAAAACCAATGACAAAATGTGATAATTCATTCCAACATACTTATGTTTTGTTTATGCCATTCTGTAAGGTATTGTTAAAGTAGGAATTTTGTGGGGTCAGATTTAAGCTAAGTGGCAAATAAAACTAAAGAGAGATGAGGAGAAGTGACATTACATAGTGACTTGTTACGATCTGGAACGCACTTTGTGCTGGCACAGAGGAAACAAATTCAATAGTAACTTTCAAAAAAAAAGTAACACTTGAAAAGGAAAGATTTGCAGAGCGCTGGGGAAAGAATATGGGATGGGATGATTTGAAAGAGCTAGCACCAACGCAATGAGCGAAATGGCCTGCTTCTGCATTATTGTAGCAAAGAAATAAATGATATCACAATCTTTGTCCATGATGTAAGTAGCAGTTATGCCTATTTGCACACAGCAAGGTCTCACAAAAATCAATGTGAGAATGGATGGGGGATAAATATCAGCTTGTCTTCAAAAAAATTGCTCTGGAATGCTTTATGTCCTCCTGAGAAGGCAGACAGTCTGAAAGATGGTGATTGCAAAATTTAAAAGTTATGTGAGGTTACCTCCTGTCTTCAACTTTGAAACGGTCGCTATGTTGAAAAATTTTTCATTGAACCAACTTGGCTGAGAGGAATGTTGTTGGTTAAGACCATAAGACACAGGAGCAGAAGTAGGCCATTCAGCCCACTGAGTCTGCTCCACTATTCAATGAGGTCATGATTAATCAATAATCTTCAACTCACTTTTTCCTCCTAACCCTTGATCATGTTACTGATTAAAAATTTGTCTGTCTCAGCCTTGAATATACTTAACAATCCAGCCTCAACAGCCCTCTGTAATAAAGAATTCCACAGGTTCACTACCCTCTGAGAGGAGAAATTCCTCCTCATCTTCGTTTTAAATATGCAACCTCTTACTTTGAGAGTTTGTCCTCTGGTCTTCGACTCTCCTACATAGGGAAGCAACCTTTCCGCATCTATCCTGTCAAGTCCCCCAAGAATCTTGTACTTTTCAATAAGGATGCCTCTCATTCCTCTACATTCCAATGAGTACAGGCCCAATCTACTCTACCAGTCCTCATAAGACAGTCCCTTCACTCCTGGTATCAACCTTGTGTAGGTACTCTAGACTGCCCAATGCCAGTATATCTGGATGACAAGTTTATAAGATGATGAGAGGCATAGATAGAGCGGTTAGCCAGAGACTTTTTCCCAGGGCGGAAATGACTATTACGAGGGGGCATAATTTTAAGGTGATTGGAGGAGGGTATAGGAGAGATGTCAGAGGTAGGTTCTTCACACAGAGAGTGGGGAAGCGGCAGTGGCAGTGGAGTCAGATACTTTAGAGACTTTTAAGCGACTCTTGGATAGGCACATAGAGGATAGTAAAATGTAGGGTATGCAGGGAAGATTGATCTTAGTAGGATAATAGGTCGGCACAACATCGTGGGCCGAAGGGCCTGTACTGTGCTGTACTGTTCTATGTTCTATCTTTTGTGGGATAAAGGACCAAAACTGTTCACAGTATTCCAGCTGTGGTTTGACTAGGCCCTTCTATAATTTCAGTGAAACCTCCCTTCTTTATTGGTCCATTCCCTTTGAAATAAAGTTAATTTAGATTACACATGAAAAAAGGGCTCCACTCATTGGCAGATATCTTACAGGTGTATAAAGAACTGATCTGCATTTATAGGATGCTTTTCAAGTCCTCAGTAAGTGTTTAATTGTTGATACATTACCTTGGCAATGCAGCTATTTTTACCATAGCAAGTAGTGACAGCAAAGCTTCACAGACATCAAGGAGAGGAACCAGATGATCAAGGTTAGTCAAGGATAAACATTATCCGATGTCAGCCGATAGATTTCCTCGGTTCGTTCTTCAAAATACTGCCATATATTTTATCTCCTCATGAGAGGACAGGCAGGGCCTTACCCAGAATACAACACCTCAGACATTGTCACAGTCCCTCCATACTGCATTCAACAGTTACAGCCTGCATGGGGTTTTAAAGTCTCCAGAATGAGGTTTGATGACATGGCTTTGCTAGCAAAGAGCCACTGACTGGGTCACGACTGACACTATCCCTCTCCCTTTACAAGAACCAAAGAGTGAGGAATAGGAACGTAGTATGAGGCCATCTGCACCTTTGGGACTAGTCCTATGTTCAATAGGACAGTGGCTGTTCTGGTCGTGGTCTAAAACTCAGACTCCCGCTTTCCCCACCCAAAACCTGGGACTCCCTTGTCTATCAAAAATCTACTTCTGCCTCGAATCAATTCAAATACCCGGCTTCCAACAGTTTCTGGGCAAGAAGACTCACAGACTAGCAACCCTCAGAGAGAGAAAAATATTCTCCTCCCCACTGTCATAAACGACCTCTTATTTTTAAACTGTGTCCCTTTGTTCTAGTCTCCCCAAAACGAGGAAATATTGCCACACTACCGGAAAAATGTGGAGGCTTTGGAGAGGGTACAAGTACATCTTACCAGCATGTTGTGTGGTTTGGAGGTTATTAGCTATGAGGAGAGATTGAACAAACTTGGTTTGTTTTCACTTGAAGGGTCAGAGGCTGAGGGGCGACCTGATAGAATTTTACAGAATTATGAGAGATATGAACAGAATGGATAGTCAGAGTCTTTTTCCCAGGGTAGAAATGTTAATTACTAGGGGATATAGGTTTAAGGTAAAAAGGGGATAAGTTTAAAGACGATGTCAGAAGCACTTTTTTTTTTTTTACACAGAGGGTGGTATTTGCCAGGAATGTGCTGCCAGAGGAGGTGGTGGAGGCTGGTCAATAGCAATGTTTAAGAGGTATCTTGACAGATATATGAATAGGCAGGAAATAGAGGGATATGGACCGTGTAGAGGCAGAAGGATTTTAGTTTAGAAAGGCATCATGTGTCGGTGCAATCTTGGTGGGCTGAAGGGCCTGTTCCTATTCTATACTGTTCTTTGTATCCTCTCACCATCTACTGAACCAGAGGGAATGCTCTGGGACATCGGTTTGAATCCCAGATGGTGAAATGTGAATCAATGAAAATATGAAATTAAGAGCTAACGGTGACCAGGTAACTATTTTTAATAGTTGTAAACATCCATCTGGTTCACTGATGTTCTTTAGCTAAGGCAATCCCTTAGCGGTTAGCACTGGTAGCTCACAGGGACCTAGGTTCAATTCCACCCTCAGGTAACTGTCTGTGTGGAGTGTACACATTCTCCCTGTGTCTGCGCGGGGTCCCTCCAGATGCTCCGGGTTCCTTCCACAGTCCAGGAACGTGCGGGTTAGGTGGATTAGCCATGATAAATGCAGGGTTACGGGGATAGAATGGGGGGCTGAGTCTGTGTGGGATGCTGTTAGGAGGGTCGTACTGACCCAATGGCTCAAGTGGCCTCTTTCTGCACTGTAAGGATTCTATGAAATCTGCTATCCTTACCTGGTCCAGTCTACATGCGACTCCAGACCAACTGTAATGCAGTTCAAGCAGCAATTTAGGATGGGCAAAAATGCTGGCTCATCCAGGGACACCAACATCACATGAACAAAAGTTTAAAAATCCATCACATCATGGCCCTGCCAAAGTGGACAAGTTCACATTTACCCACGTTATACTCACCTGCCCACTTACTCATCCCATCCATATCGCCTTACACATTCTTACATGCTTGCCCATTGGCGCCATCCGCAAGTTTAGTCACCAGATATTCAGTCCCCACATCGGTGGTGAAAACATAGCCTCCCTATAAACCTAAACAGAGCCAGTGGATCGATACAGCCCATAATCTGAGGGCGCTGACTGGTGAACTGAATTGTTTTCAGTCACTTCTCATTGTAAACTGTACATCATTCAAAATAGAACAGGGAAAATCGATAGAAAGCATGCTCCCTCTTATTAAAAGCCCCGA